AATTAAAAAAAATGTAGGGTAATGATTCACATCTATATTTTTTAACTTGAGCCAATGAAAAATAAATAACTTGCCCTAAGGGCAATCCTATAGGCTACCTCTGAACTTTTTCCTCCTTAAAATATGTCCACTTGAGTTGCATAATACCATGCTAAGCACATATTCTCCTGCATTTTAGATGCATTCTCTTGGGTTGTCTCTTTAAAATGCTAATGTATTACACAACCTGTTTACCCCAGAGGACCACGGTCCTCACTCAGTTCTGTATTCACGGTATCACATTTGTGCTGATTTAGAATTTTGGATTGACTTGAATTTTAAAATCAAAGCTTATTTAATTCCAGGAACTACTGTTTGCAAGCAAAAAAAAAGTGCCAGTGGATGAATAAATTAAGATGTGCTGTATAAAAGTATAAAGTAAGCTTTTGTTTTTCTCTAACGGGGTAAGTGCAGTACCTTACTGGGACAGAAACCGAGCATTGAGTGCCTAAAGGGGTTTTCCAGGGAATGTTTTTTCTTCTTTTTGAGTGGAAATAATAAAGCTCTCAGTGTTTGGTTTGGGGGTGTAGGCAGGGGCTTTATACGGTTATGAGAGAACGTCCAGAACTTGCTGTTCATGGGTCTCGTCTGCTCTTCATTTATCATAATTTATTGAATGTAGTGTGATGGACTGCCAGCTACCTCTCTTTTTCCTCTCAATTTTTTTCTCTCTCGCTCACTCTTTTGCTGTCTGTCTTCCTCACACTCTATTTATCCTGCTTTATCTGTCTGCACGCTGCTATCATATTACAGTCTGGAGTGGCTAGCATCTTTCTCCATTACAGACCAGGATCAGGTCAAATCAGATGCAGAACATACAGATTTGTACATTTATAAGACCTCTTCTGCATCAGACAACAAAATACACTTTTCAATACAAATGTTTCACAGATTGTAAAGTTGGAAATCAAACAATAGATGTACTGTTCAAAATGAAGACAAAATATTGTGACTCGTTGTAGTGGTTGTTGTCTTTTGTTTGCAGGTGTCATTTGATTTTATATACTGCATATGTGATGAAATTCACACTTTTTAGCGTTGCATACGTGTTCAAATACTTGTTCAAATACTTTCTGTGACCACAGTGTGCCAAAAGTACAGAGTGCATCTAATCCATCTTGTTTCCTTTTTATTTTATTTTCCCCCCAACTTCTCCATAAAAGATCAGGGTGGATTTCCCTACTGGTTTATGCTGGTTAAATACTGTGGTTCTGGTCAAATAGCGTGATCTGGAAGAACTTTAAAAGCATAAACATAAGCATAAACACAACATATGCTTTTCTTCTCATCAGTGTTTGCTCTTTTATTTTTGTATTACAATGAAAGAACAGTGTCGGTACTGTAGTTTTGCTCAAGTTTTATATTTCATTTCTCTTTTCCACCCCCTCCAGTCTCACCTTTTCTCATTCCCTCAATCTCCCACAAAACCCGAAGCCAAGTTTGAACAGTGTCTGTGTGGCGGATGAGTTTTACTGGTTCTATTACAGGGAAACTGTGAAAATTAAACCCTACCCCCTATGTGTGTGAAATGATGAGGGCTAATTTACATTACCCAGCATCCCCATGAAATCTCTGTAAGCTGGCTTCCAGATGAGGCACCTCGCAGAGTCAGAGCCCTGAGCTAGTGTCAGATCTGTTAATAACAATCATAACTTTCACACAAAAAAAATTCCCTAGCAATATATTGTTTCTCATCTGTCCCTCTTGGCCTGGAGTTTTGCATATCCCGGTGTTTATTTTCCCGCATGTTCCTCCAGCTCTATTTAAAGGGTTAGTTCACCCAAAAATGAAAATTAGCCCATGAATTACTCACCCTCAAGGCATCCTAGGTGCATATGATTTTCTTCTTTCAGACGAATCCAGTCGGAGTTGTATTAAAAATTGACTTTGGTCTTTCAAGCTGTTTAATGTCAGTCAGCAGATGTTGCAGTTCATCAGTCCAAAAGAAGTTAAATTAAGCGCATACATCCATAATAAAAAGTGCCTCACACGGCTACGGGGGGTAAACGAAGACCTCCTGTAGCGAATCGATGCGTTTTTGTAAGAAAAATAACCATATTTAAAACATAATAATCAATTTAATCTAGCTTGTGCCAACAGTTGTACACGGAAGCAGCTCCGGGCGGATGACGTCGGCGTTGCGTGATTAGTGACGAACGCGGAAGTGCAGCGGAGAGATCGAAACAAAACAATGGTCACGAATTAGAAGTACAAATCAAGGATTTGTAAAGAAGAATGTCGGAGGTAACCATATTTAAAACATAATAATCAATTTAATCTAGCTTGTGCCAACAGTTGTACACGGAAGCAGCTCCGGGCAGATGACGTCGGCGTTGCGTGATTAGTGACGAACGCGGAAGTGCAGCGGAGAGATCGAAACAAAACAACGGTCACGAATTAGAAGTACAAATCAAGGATTTGTAAAGAAGAATGTCGGAGGATTTCGGTATAAGCCAAGAGGAGACTGGTTTTCCTTTGCTAAAGTAAGGAAACTTTGCTTCCTTTGCTCCTGTAAACAAACGTTGGTTTTCACGAGACTCACCGGCGCATGCGCAACGCCGACATCTTACATCATCCTCCCGGAGCTGCTTCCATGTACAACTGTTGGCGCAAGCTACATTAAAGTGATTATTACGTTTTGAATATGGATATTTTTCTTACAAAAATGCATCGATTCGCTACAGGAGGCCTTTGTTCACCCCCCGGAGCCATGTGAGGTACTTTTTATTATGGATGTATGCGCTTAATTTCACTTCTTTTGGACTGCTGAACTGCAACACCCGCTGACTGACATTTTTAATATAACTCCGACTGGATTCGTCTTAAAGAAGAAAGTCATATACACCTAGGATGGCTTGAGGGTGAGTAAATAATAGGCTAATTTTCATTTTTGGGTGAACTATCCCTTTAAGGCTGGTGGCCTATAGTTTGTGTATTTCTGTCAGTTTGTGCAATATTATAATTTTTTATTTTCCGGTATTTTCCCAGTACTTTATGCCAAAATTTAATTTAGCGCCACTTTTTGTCTACTCTGTTTTTAGTATTTGAGTATGTTGAGTACGTGGCAAACAAGGTGCAGAATTTGAATTTGAATTTAAGGAAGCAGAATTCCAATTAATTGCAACATTCTAAATGGTCCTTTCTTTTAACTTTAAATGAAAAAGCTAAATTTCTAATGCTATAAGGTACTTCCTTAAATTGCAAATCCAAATAAATTAATTTTAATGTCTAAAACATTCAGAATTTTTAATGGTAACGTGACAAAGCCTTGTTTCATAGTGCCGTTGCTCAGTACTACTATGTGAGTTTATTTGAGTTGACGTTGTAATTCTTCATTTAGGATAGTCAGCCAGACCTAGTGGTTTTTTCTCCTCTATTTTAACCTTCTGCTGTCTTGGACGGCCATTTTCAGGCTTCCACAAATGACTGCTTCTTTTTTTCTTCTTCTTCTTCTTCTTCTTCTTCTTCAATTCCTGTTTTAATAGTCATGGGGGAAGGTGTTGGCTTCTTGACTGAATACGCAATGTGTGCCTGAATTTTGGCTTGCTGGAGTGAAGTCCTATAAACAAATGGGAACCAACCAAGCTATTCCTTCACTGAAGGAGTCATTGTTACACGTCTCTGGCTGTTCTGCTCTGAGACGCTGGTTTTGGAACGGTTCTGCTTCTATTTTTTTTTGATGATTGAGGTCAAGCTGTAGTAACCCTGACTGACTCGGTGTCTTTGCCTAAGGGTGGAGAGATCCTTTTTCATCATACCTGGCTAATTGTGAGTTAGAATCTACACCTGACCCTCATTTGAACCTTTGAGTTCAGACCACATGCACTGACGTTTATCCCTCCACCCAGTGACTTCATGTTGTGTCAGTGAAGGATGTCAAATTAAGGTAGCGTTGTTAGTTGGAGGGCTGCCTTCCTTGGCTTTAATTTTAGGCAAAATTGAAAATGTGCTTTGTGCTTCCCTGTGCAAATGTCAAAGCACAGTTGTAGTTGCTTACCTGGGAGTTTATTCTGACCTTGTAAGGTTTTTATTTGGCTAGACTCTAAAGTGCATTTCATGTACACTGCAGTTCAACAGTTTGAGTTTTTTTGTTTGTTTGTTGAAATGTTTTTTTGTCCGCAAGTATGCATTAAATTGAGCAAAATTCACAGTAAAGACCTTTAGAATGCCACAAAAGATTTCTATTTCAAATAAATGCTGTTCTTTTCAACTTTCCATTCATCAAAGTGTCCTGAAAAAAGTATCACAGCTTTCACCAAAAACAGCAAAACTGTTTTCAATATTGATAATAAAGAATGTGTCTTGAACTCAGCATATTAGAATGATTTCTGAAGGATCATGTGACACTAAAGACTAACGGCTGCTGAAAATTCAGCTTTGCATCAGCAATAAATTGAAAAATTATGTATTTTTCAAATAAATTCAAGCTTGGTAAGCATAAGAGACTGAAAAAAAGAAAGGAAAAAAAAACACCTATTTGAACTATTTCAAATCTATTTATAAAACATTTTAAAACAGCACAACTACTGCACAATAAAAGGGAACACAAAATTAGCAAGTCAAAGAAAGCCTATGTTGAGCTTTTTAGGTAATAAACTTAGAAGGTAGCTGCATCTGTACAGCAGCTAGTACACAGCAAGGCAGCTCGCTAGGAAGTTCAGAACAAAACCTTAGGCTTAGTCTGTAGTTAAGTGGCGACTTCATGGGGAACAAAATGGTCTTTAATTTCCATGATCCTGCTGCGCTTTAGTTTTTCAGCACTGGATTTGAATTGAGGTGGCAAACAAGATGCAGACTTACAATTTGAATTTGATTCTAAGAAAGTAGACTTCTAATATTTGCAACATTCAAAAATGTTATACACTGTTATACACATTTGTTTAGAATTTCAAAATTAAAAATTTGTTTTAGAATTTTTAGTTTTGTCTTAACTTCTCTCCTCTCTCTGTGTACTTCTGTAGGTGATGCTCGCGCACTGAAGGAACTGGGCAGGGTGTTAGTGCTCCACAGGAGGACAGTGATGCCCTATGCGGCCTACGCCCGTAAGCGGAAGGGTTCGAACGACGAGAAGGAAGTGGAGCAGTACGCTAGTCTGGTGGGCCAGACGTGTGCAGAGAGAATCCTGCTCTACAGAGCCTAGAGCCCCTTCATACCTTACAACCATCTGTCTGTCTCTCTTTCTTTCTCTCTGTTTGTCTTTCAAAACATGTCCTCTTGTACACTTGTCTGTTTATTGTCTTCCTGATTGTTTATTTGTCTGCCAGAAGTCTTTTCCCCCTCTGTGTGTACAGTTTTGTTCTTTTTTTGTACTGCTGTGCATTGCTTCACTCACCCAGTCTTTCGTAATCTCTTTGAACTCTACTTTTATATTTTCTGGCAAGCAGCGCTTTGTAATAATCATGCTCGCACACATGCAACACGCAGCCACGCATGTGTTATCTCATATGTATCCCAAGATATTACCCAGTATAATTTTTATAATTTTTTTGGGAAAGAAATTATAGAAATTAATACTTTTATTTAGCAAGGATGCTCAAAATTGATCAAAAGTGATGATAAAGGCATTTATAATGTTACAAAAGATTTCTATTTCAGATAAATAGTGTTCATATCGATATCGGAATTATATCGTATCGACCGAAATTAAGAAATATATCGTGATATCAATTTTGACCATATCGTCCAGCCCTAGGATTTAATGTAAGCTCCGGTGAGAAGTGACGAATGCAGAAGTGCAGATGAGAGAGCAAAACAAAACACCGGTCACGAATTAGAAGTACAAATCAAGGATTTGTAAAGAAGAATGTCGGAGGATTTCGGTATAAGCCAAGAGGAGACTGGTTTTCCTTTGCTAAAGTAAGGAAACTTTGCTTCCTTTGCTCCTGTAAACAAACGTTGGTTTTCACGAGACTCACCGGCGCATGCGCAACGCCGACATCTTACATCATCCTCCCGGAGCTGCTTCCATGTACAACTGTTGGCGCAAGCTACATTAAAGTGATTATTACGTTTTGAATATGGATATTTTTCTTACAAAAATGCATCGATTCGCTACAGGAGGCCTTTGTTCACCCCCCGGAGCCGTGTGAGGTACTTTTTATTATGGATGTATGCGCTTAATTTCACTTCTTTTGGACTGCTGAACTGCAACACCCGCTGACTGACATTTTTAATATAACTCCGACTGGATTCGTCTTAAAGAAGAAAGTCATATACACCTAGGATGGCTTGAGGGTGAGTAAATAATAGGCTAATTTTCATTTTTGGGTGAACTATCCCTTTAAGGCTGGTGGCCTATAGTTTGTGTATTTCTGTCAGTTTGTGCAATATTATAATTTTTTATTTTCCGGTATTTTCCCAGTACTTTATGCCAAAATTTAATTTAGCGCCACTTTTTGTCTACTCTGTTTTTAGTATTTGAGTATGTTGAGTACGTGGCAAACAAGGTGCAGAATTTGAATTTGAATTTAAGGAAGCAGAATTCCAATTAATTGCAACATTCTAAATGGTCCTTTCTTTTAACTTTAAATGAAAAAGCTAAATTTCTAATGCTATAAGGTACTTCCTTAAATTGCAAATCCAAATAAATTAATTTTAATGTCTAAAACATTCAGAATTTTTAATGGTAACGTGACAAAGCCTTGTTTCATAGTGCCGTTGCTCAGTACTACTATGTGAGTTTATTTGAGTTGACGTTGTAATTCTTCATTTAGGATAGTCAGCCAGACCTAGTGGTTTTTTCTCCTCTATTTTAACCTTCTGCTGTCTTGGACGGCCATTTTCAGGCTTCCACAAATGACTGCTTCTTTTTTTCTTCTTCTTCTTCTTCTTCTTCTTCAATTCCTGTTTTAATAGTCATGGGGGAAGGTGTTGGCTTCTTGACTGAATACGCAATGTGTGCCTGAATTTTGGCTTGCTGGAGTGAAGTCCTATAAACAAATGGGAACCAACCAAGCTATTCCTTCACTGAAGGAGTCATTGTTACACGTCTCTGGCTGTTCTGCTCTGAGACGCTGGTTTTGGAACGGTTCTGCTTCTATTTTTTTTTGATGATTGAGGTCAAGCTGTAGTAACCCTGACTGACTCGGTGTCTTTGCCTAAGGGTGGAGAGATCCTTTTTCATCATACCTGGCTAATTGTGAGTTAGAATCTACACCTGACCCTCATTTGAACCTTTGAGTTCAGACCACATGCACTGACGTTTATCCCTCCACCCAGTGACTTCATGTTGTGTCAGTGAAGGATGTCAAATTAAGGTAGCGTTGTTAGTTGGAGGGCTGCCTTCCTTGGCTTTAATTTTAGGCAAAATTGAAAATGTGCTTTGTGCTTCCCTGTGCAAATGTCAAAGCACAGTTGTAGTTGCTTACCTGGGAGTTTATTCTGACCTTGTAAGGTTTTTATTTGGCTAGACTCTAAAGTGCATTTCATGTACACTGCAGTTCAACAGTTTGAGTTTTTTTGTTTGTTTGTTGAAATGTTTTTTTGTCCGCAAGTATGCATTAAATTGAGCAAAATTCACAGTAAAGACCTTTAGAATGCCACAAAAGATTTCTATTTCAAATAAATGCTGTTCTTTTCAACTTTCCATTCATCAAAGTGTCCTGAAAAAAGTATCACAGCTTTCACCAAAAACAGCAAAACTGTTTTCAATATTGATAATAAAGAATGTGTCTTGAACTCAGCATATTAGAATGATTTCTGAAGGATCATGTGACACTAAAGACTAACGGCTGCTGAAAATTCAGCTTTGCATCAGCAATAAATTGAAAAATTATGTATTTTTCAAATAAATTCAAGCTTGGTAAGCATAAGAGACTGAAAAAAAGAAAGGAAAAAAAAACACCTATTTGAACTATTTCAAATCTATTTATAAAACATTTTAAAACAGCACAACTACTGCACAATAAAAGGGAACACAAAATTAGCAAGTCAAAGAAAGCCTATGTTGAGCTTTTTAGGTAATAAACTTAGAAGGTAGCTGCATCTGTACAGCAGCTAGTACACAGCAAGGCAGCTCGCTAGGAAGTTCAGAACAAAACCTTAGGCTTAGTCTGTAGTTAAGTGGCGACTTCATGGGGAACAAAATGGTCTTTAATTTCCATGATCCTGCTGCGCTTTAGTTTTTCAGCACTGGATTTGAATTGAGGTGGCAAACAAGATGCAGACTTACAATTTGAATTTGATTCTAAGAAAGTAGACTTCTAATATTTGCAACATTCAAAAATGTTATACACTGTTATACACATTTGTTTAGAATTTCAAAATTAAAAATTTGTTTTAGAATTTTTAGTTTTGTCTTAACTTCTCTCCTCTCTCTGTGTACTTCTGTAGGTGATGCTCGCGCACTGAAGGAACTGGGCAGGGTGTTAGTGCTCCACAGGAGGACAGTGATGCCCTATGCGGCCTACGCCCGTAAGCGGAAGGGTTCGAACGACGAGAAGGAAGTGGAGCAGTACGCTAGTCTGGTGGGCCAGACGTGTGCAGAGAGAATCCTGCTCTACAGAGCCTAGAGCCCCTTCATACCTTACAACCATCTGTCTGTCTCTCTTTCTTTCTCTCTGTTTGTCTTTCAAAACATGTCCTCTTGTACACTTGTCTGTTTATTGTCTTCCTGATTGTTTATTTGTCTGCCAGAAGTCTTTTCCCCCTCTGTGTGTACAGTTTTGTTCTTTTTTTGTACTGCTGTGCATTGCTTCACTCACCCAGTCTTTCGTAATCTCTTTGAACTCTACTTTTATATTTTCTGGCAAGCAGCGCTTTGTAATAATCATGCTCGCACACATGCAACACGCAGCCACGCATGTGTTATCTCATATGTATCCCAAGATATTACCCATTTACAACTCACCAATCACATTTTAACTAACCGTATAACAAGAAATGATGTGCGATAGGGCAAACCCCTATTCTGAATCAGTTTGGCTGGGTATTTCTAGACCGTCGTGACCCTGAACCGCTTGGCCTTTGGTGACAGATCACTGCTTTCCCAAAATCCTGATATTTCTGTTCTTCTAAAGTGGCTAATACTATCCAAAGCAGGTGCTATCACACATTGTACGTCATACGATGAAAGACTAGTTACTGGCTTTGCTGGAGGGTTGAATCGATCCATTTTCCAGTGGAACAGATTTTTATTTTCTCGCTTTGTCTTTCGGTTGAAGTAATAGCTCGAGTGCTTTTATTTTTCATGCATAAAAGCAGGTAGTATAGTTCTACAGGTCAATGTTTTGTTAATTTTCTCTTGTGTCTGATGCAAAGTGTCTTTTGATGTGATTTGATGCCATTAACCTGGTGAACTTTGGTGAAACTAGTGATTAGTTCTTCGGATGAGTTTGTCTAACCATGACTTTGTTTCCAGGTTAACTGGAAGTCAAAACACAAAAGTCGAAAAATCGCATTAAAGCTTGTCAGAGGAAGCAAGTGCCATTTCTGTGCAGTATGCGTTCGGATGTTTTGGGACCGTGCTGTCTGTGAGTGTTTCTTCTGAGACTACATTCTCCTTTGTAACTGTTTTATCTTTCTCTTTTAGTCTCTCTCTCAGGCCTCTGTTGGCACTGCCACACTGTGTTAGCATCTCTGCCCTGAGTTTGCTGAACTGTGCCAGCGGAGCTCTGGAGCCAGGACTGTAAAAACACCAGGCATCACTTTACCATTTTAGAAAATTTGGCCATGGTGTGTTTGAGGGCTGTGAGCCACAAGCTATTTGTGTTGACAGACCAAATGATTTAGTTTGTCCTAAATCATTTAGTCCTGATTTATTGTCCCCATCAGCACAGTGATACGCTCTTCATAGTCACATTAGCATTATCATCTCCTTAATTGATCGCCATTTAATGGTTTTAAATTCATAAATGTAGCTGAAGTGTGCAGTTTTTGTTTATACCTGAATGGGGGCCGTCAGAATGAGAGTCCTAACAGCTGATACAAACATCACAATAATCCACAAGTAATCCACTTCAGTCCATCAGTTAATGTCTTGTGAAGGGAAACGCTATATGCTTGTTTGAAATAAATCCATGTAATAGATGTTTTTATCTTTAAAGTGTTGCTTCTGGCTAAAACACTATCCATATTGCTTTATCCAGTGAAAAAGTCGTCTTGTCTGAATCAGGGAAGAAATCTGCACAGATCAAGTACTGTTTACAAGCAAAAACAGTTCTAAACAAATGTGCTGATTATAAAATTTTGATATGAGACGACAACAGATGATGGACTTTTTCACTGGAGGAAGCTGTATTATGGATTATGGACTCAAGTTAAAATGGCTTGATGGATTTGTTTCCTACAAACACAGCTTTTGACTTTACACAAGACAT